GAGCCGGAATACCACCCAAGGGTGGCTTCTGTCCATCCATACCCACAGCAGCAACATTACTTCCCAAATCAGAGTCTGAAACTGACGGCTTTGTCATCCCATCCTTCTCTTGAAAGGTTTCTATTTTCTCAGGCTGACCACTCTGACCCTCAATACGCATTTCATCACCTGCAACCCCTGCTTCTTCCGCACAAGTCTCACCTAGAAATACCTCAGCCGCGCTGTCCAGATTGCCGTCATTCCCGGTATTGGAAGTAATCTTTCTGTACGGTCCTCTCTTCCTCTTTACCATGCTTTGGCCAGCAGAATTTCCAGAGAGAGGGCAGTTTCCCTTGGAGCACAGAAACCTCTGCATCACCAGACTTGGATTACCCCTTGAACGCCGACCAGAGCCTGTCCTGGCCTTGAAACCCATCTTCTCACTGTAGGTGTAGTAGAATGCTTTTGCCATCGAAATGGAATCGAATTCCATGCCAACCGCTGGAACCAGCCTGCTGCCAGCAACAGTGCCAGCAGGATCAGGTGGTGGGGTAAGCGAGTGCGCATGCTCCAAAACAACCGTAGACACAAACCACCTCCCAGTCTCCTTCTTCACCACCTCCATCAATGCTCGGCACCGATCGCCGCCGGCTGATACCTCCCCAGATGCAGCAACATCGGCGCTACCCGAGCCTGGCCGCGTGTGTAAGTAGCTGCGCATGATGTAAGCCACGCGAAGGGCATACTCATTGTAGGGTGGTTTCCCTGCAGACATGTCAGCTTCCTTAAGCGAATTCTCACCCGGTACTGAGCCGCCTTCTACCAAGAGCTCCGCCACTTCGGCGACAGCATTCTGCGAGTCGAGAACTATCCCGCCGTCGCTCCCTCCACCTCCGTCCTCCACTCCATCTCTTTGCTTCAGTTTCGTACATCCTTCCTTGGAGATCTCGGAGATGAGGACCATGACTGCGTAATTGCAGTAGAACAGAGGTTAGGGTTACATGGATCGGAATCATGGAGGTTTCGTTATCAGTCCCAGAGAGGGAGCGGGAAGAAACCCGGCGATTTGATTTGGTTGTTTGATTATTTGAAAGCTAAGATGTTGGAAAATTGGAACCCTAGGGGGAGAGATCTTACCGGGTTCTTTTCCTTTTTGGTGTTCGGGACAGCGAAGGGGATGGATCCCTGGGGAGGAAGCTCGGCCCCTTTTTCTCTCTCCTGCGACGCTGCGAGGCTTCGAGCAGCGTTGTACCGTTCCTTAGTACTTAATGCTTCGTTTGTTTTTTTTTAGCTTTTATTTTTTTAGTGATTTTGTAAAAGACAGTTTTAAAAAATATTAGATTTAGAAAATGGAGTTTTCAGAAAAATAAAAAAAAAGAGTTATTGAACGTGATTTGACGAACCAAACAACACAAACAAAAATTCCTCCGTTTCCAAAAATGGAAAAGTCCAAATAACGTAAGTCGGATCGGGCCAGGCCGCTACTCCGAAGTCCGAACGAAGAGAATGGAAAGAAGCGAGTAGAAAATCGACACGTATGTAAATGTGGAGTGGGGCCCAGTGACGGGTCGGGCCTGAGCGTTTAGGTGGAAAATTATTTCCATATTCCTATTAATGTTTCGTCGTCACACTGGATTCTTCATTAATATCCGTCGGCATATTATTTTTCCGATATCTTTAATATATTTTAATTTAATTGCGGATTAAAAAATTTACAACCATATTGTTGCGGGCTAGAATATATGTGGCGATAGAGTTAAAATACTACGTCTTAGCGTTGCACGGGTATTCAGCTCACATACAGATAACACAATATTTTTTACGTGAAAAATCCTGAAAAAAAGGAAAAAAACACGAGGTCTGGCCCAGTTGAAAATGATTTCACTAGAACTTGAGTTTGTTACAATTGGTTGACTCGCCTCCAAGGGCGATCAGATTACAAGTAATAATTGTACGACAGAAGTCCGGGTGTCAGATGATGGACTGGCATAACTTCGGTGTAATGGTCTGGCAAAACTCGAGGCCTGAGGTAATGAACATGAGGGCCTCAGGTGGTGGTCCAGCGAAGGCAAGCTCCGGCGGTGATCCGGTGAAATTCCGGCGGTGGTCTTGCGAAATTCCGGCGGTGGTCGAGTAGGAGCTTCTTCCTTCTCTTCTCTTCTTGCTTGGACCTCCTTTCAAGAGAAATGAGGGATCTATTTATAGATTTTCTGATTTGGCATGGTCCGTAAATAGGTGAGAGATCAGGGGTAAATATGGAGTGGTTGGCTGGACGACTGATATTGAATCTTTTAATCGTGTACCGTTCGTCAAACATTTGGAGGTCTTAATGATTTTGGAATTTGGCGATCTTGGGCTCGTTGGATTCGTCTCGTCAAGCCGCTCGATTCAACTATAAGCTCGTCATGTTTGGAAACCATTTGGTAACTCAAACTGTGGTATGAAGCTTCAAACAACGCTTCGGGTCCTTAATTTGGACTCATTTAGGCTCAGATTTAGTCGAATTTGGTGTCGTTGGGTTTGTATTTCTGAGACGCTCAGTTTGACTGTAAGTTTGCTGAAATCGGAGCTCAGATGATCCCGGATTTAAATTTTTTAAAATTTATGCTTGATTTTTCATCGAGATTTGTGCCCGATCAAAATAATTTTTGGAGGACGTATCACGTATAATGAGAAAACTATATACTTTAACTGTATACGAATATTTAGTGTATAAATAAATAAACAAAATATTATATATAATTCTAGAAATTTTATGTGGAAATTCCGGATAAAGAAAAACCACTTTACTATTTTAATGCTAATTATAATGATTTACCTATCCCTTAACCTCTTTGGAGAATAATTATAGCCTTAAGAAGTTGAAGCATCTCAATTAGAAATTTCAAAGATATTTTTAAATTCTTCTCCATTGTTATAATATTTATAAATATATATTATCTTTTAAAACTGAAATGCCATTCAACAAAATAACCACCACATTTGTTAATTATGCTGATAATTATGGAGTTTATAGCTTGATTAACCATTAATTACTAATTCTTGCTTTAACAATATTCTTTTATTTTTAAAGGCTTTATTTGTAATGTATATATTTTTTTTAGTTTTATTATATTTATACTTGATTATAGCACATTTGTGCTTCATAATCTTATATTTTTTTTTATTTTAAGAACTAGTGTAGCTTAAAAAAAAGTAGCTTCAAGTGTATTTTATATTAATTTTTGTAGATTTTATTTTTTTAATGTTATTCAATTTTAAAAATTAATCAGTTGCATGATGTGCATGTGTAATTCAACTAGTATATATAAATTACTTTTTAGAATATTTACAATAATAAAAAGAGAATTTAATGTCTTAAATTTATACAAAGATATAGCATACATAATAAAATAAGATAATTGTTAAGTTCTAGAATATTGGTAGTCATAAAGAGAGATTAATGACTCATCTTTGTGTGAAGATCCAACACACGTATAAATAAAAGGGGAGTTGCTAGAGATACCAAAGATCTATATGGAAACCCTGTAGAGGAATAAAAAATCACGGCATCTGACCAATTGAAATGATGCGGTGCATCTATGCTACAGTGATCCTGAGGAGCATTTTATCTCATTTTCTCTTATTTCGTTTAGCCGTTTAGCACATGACCACTATCTTAGTTACTTTAGTTAGTTAAACCGTACTGTTTTTGCCTTTTTACTTTTAGTCCCGTTTGGGGAACTTCTGGAGAGGAAGGAGAGGGGTATATGAGTGAAGAGTATAGCAGGGTATAGCAGTTTTTCTTGATTTTCTAATACAGAATTCACTGTTCTTTGTGTTCTGTAATCTTTTCATTGCAGGTTTTGATCTTCATCATGAAATGAATCAACTTGTGTTTATCATTTATTACAAGTGATGATTTTTTCCCTTTATCGAGAAATTGTAGATATAATATAGTAGATATAAAAAATAAATAACATGTTTCATTGTGGAGATTGAAATAGCCATGTGACATCGGAGGTGCATTCAAAATATCATTTATTATTTGTTTGTTCATTTTTATTCGAAATAGGGAAACTACAAACTAAAAAGTCTAGCAAATCTTGGCATTGATCTCGAAAGTCAAAGTTAATGATGTATATTTGTCTTGCAAATCATGGCGTGCATTATTGATGATGGTCAACACAAGAGAAGCCACAAAATCATGTTGCAAGTCTTAGTTGGTCCAAGGGAATAGGCATAGCCGAGGGAGCTTGCATAACTTTCAAAGTGCAACCATGTAGAAGATAACAGGTATGCATGGCGACAAAAGAATATTTCATGAAAATTTTCTTTTTAGTCTTCATCAAGGTTGAAGTCTATTTATATATATTCAACATCATAAGCGAGTTCAGTAGCTTTCTCAACGAGCATCGATGAAGTCAGACAAGCTCAGCCGATTGCATTGATATAATATGAAATACGTAGAAATAGATACATAATCGTATAAGCATACTGATATACATAACATAAGGATGGACCCTATCATATTCATATGCATTATTACCCTATATCACCGATGAGTGTGATAGTTATAATGATGTTGCATATAGACTTCTATTCTAAGCATATATACCTACAACCAATTATAATAGTATATTTCACTTCAAGACACAACCAATCATAGAAAGATGCAAGAATACTTTATACCAACTGATAACAAAAAGAAAATATATTCATGATATGGAGATGAAGTTAACTATATTTTACTTTCTCAATTCAATAGTTTCAATAATTTCATAAGAAAAAAAAAATCAGAGATATCCTAAATTAACATCATCAAATATAACCAAATAAGTTGAGTCAATAGGTCTCACTTCACCAAAATATTCAAACCCGAATACATCCAATTGATTGAGCCTGATTATGTCGCCTCCATCTCCTCCATTATCTAAGTCAACTTCACCAACAAATAAGAAATATAAAATAAAACATTATTTTTTGCTTTTATTTAAATGATATACTCAAAATTTATTATCAAATTACTAGCTGTTTCTGACTGATTAAATGATGTGGTTTGTTCTTCAACAACTGACATTGCTGAAGTCTGATTACTAGGTGTTTTCATTCTAATTTGGTTAACTAAATAAAATAATATACATATAACTTAAAACCCCCAAATCCTCAAACAACATCAATAGTTAATTAAAAGGATAGTATGCAACTACAAGGTAGAAAAATTAATAGAAGTATATAACTGAATGTAAGGTAGAAAACTACCATGTAGAAAACTATAATATAGAAAACTATGCGAGGTAGAAAACTATGCAATTTAAAAAATTACAAAACTGAAACGACACGAATGCATACCTCAATTCGTCGTAGCAACAATTTGTAGAGCAGAAATTTTATATCACTTGAACTTCCATCACTGCCTAAAGTCTCCAACCTTTAAGTACTAGAGATGAATTCCCCAAAGAAAGCATGTTCGAAACCTATAATATAATTGAGATGATTTTAAATGTTAAAGGAAAGCACATTTAATTAGATTACAGTTCCAAACTTAGATATCATTATTATATAAGTGGAAAGAAAATTCAAATAACTTGAGTGAAAAATTAGTTTTTCCATATACATTATGATATAAGCAAAATTTGTATACAAGTGATATAAGGCAGTGAAACAAAGTTCAAGAACTCAATAATAAACTAATTATATTAAAAGTTATTCATAACCATTTACAAATATTAGCTAAAATCAATGCTAATTGCAAGAGAATAAGGACAACCAATTATGCATTTATTCATAGCATTATTTCAAATTATGCATTTACTCATACCATTCAAATCTCAACATAAAAAAGTTTGTTGAAGAACTTACTATGGTTGCTATTGATTGTGACTAGAAAAAAGAGGAACACATTAACCACACAAGAAAGTGCTACTAAAGATGGGTTAAATGTACATCATTTGAGGTAGACATAAAGTGTTAAAGTTAGATACTTTCCAAATACTTAATCTATATCCATTGGTGATCTCCTTGCCTAGCTTTACTAAGGCTCCTACTAACATAACTCTCATATTCTCTTTGACTTAATCAATGGAACAATAACATTTAGCCATTTATGGCATACAATCTTATAAAATAATGGTAAATGAAAGATTATCTATCAATCCATCATCAATTTAATATCCAACTAGCATGAGAGAATAAAGAAAAACTATTTTGGTTGTTAGGGCATGTATAATTATCCAGTGGGTGTAATAACCCAAACCAAGCTTGATCGGTCATTAACCCTCATGCAAAATTCCCAATCATAAACTCCCTTATTCATGTCATTCACTTAATTGTTCAACTTCCTCCTATAATGAGTACACAAATTGTGTCATAATATGCAAAAATCATCCTCCTACATCATAATAGATGAATTGTCTCATAAGATAACTTGTTTCATAAAATAATGCAAAAATTCAAAAATCCAAACATCCAAAATACAATCCACAGACGACTTGTCTCATAGGATAATGCAAAAATCCAAAAATCCATAAGATAATGCAAACATCCAAAAATCCGAAATACAATCCACATGCAACATAAAGAAAATGAAATTTAAAAAATATGCATACAAGAAAACTATAAAAATTAAAGACTACATTTATGTACCTGGTTACAAAAAATCATTTTGAAACAAACCAGAATGACTGGCTTCAAAAACTAGTAGGCGGTTTTGCTTATTGAACTATAAAATACATCAAAGACGGGAATAAATACGCTGAACTGCCGAAGATCATGCTAATATGTGAGGGCCGCGAGGAGATAGCCGCGATACAAACAAATGAGATAAGTTTTTTTTTTTTTTCTGACTTCGTATAACCTCCTCATGTCGCAGATCGCTTAATCTCAATCGTCAAATATTTAATGTAGCAAACCGTCCGGATATTTACTGTGGTGAACCGCCGGTTCAAGCGGTTCAATACTAATTTTCTTCAAAATTGGTTATAACTTGAACTGTATCCGGCCGGCCAGCCGGTTCGCTGTTCAACTGGTTGAACAGACCGGTCCGATCCGCTTTTAAAAGCCATGATATTTAGAACTCGATCAAATTTGACGATGTTCAAATATACTTAAATTAAACTAGAAAGTAAATTTCAAATACTTCAACATTTTATTCTATATTTTTTTAACTTTAAATCAAACAACAATAATATCTAAATTACTACATTAAAAAAATTTTATACTCATTTTATTCGGACCACATAACCCTGAGAAGAAAAATAAATTAATAAAATTTTAATCAACATTCTTTTTTTTCCCCTTCAACCAAATAACAAATTTCAAAATCCTCGGAATGCTTTCCACTTCTGCAAGGGAGATTTACATACATATCACCCTATACTATTCAATTTACATATTTAACATCTAAAATTTTAATATTATATACACCTATAATTTATTTTTATGTCAAATATAAGTATTAGAAATGAAATATATAAGTGATAGGAAGAAAATATTAATGACGTATTTAGTAATAAAATAATATAAGATGATAAATATAATGTTAAAATTTTAGATATTAGATAAGTAAATAAAATGATATAAAATAGTATGTAGGCAAATTTCCTTCCCACAAATTTACTCTTTGCGAGTGGCCGGGGTGTCGTGCTTTCCCGAATTCTCTTGTCTAACCCTCCGCCGCTGCGACCCTCCGCTGCAAGGTGACGACGGTTCTATTCCCCAAGTCTCTCTTTAATTTGCTCGCTTGAGGTCGAACGCCACGGAAAGATAGGAAGCAGAAGTGGAAGTGCAGATGGAGCTTGAGGTCAAGGTGGTTGGAGGCATCGAGAGCTGCTTCGTTTCGCTCCCTCTTTCTCTAATACATACCCTACAGTCCACGAGCGGTGGGTTCCTTCCCCCTGTTCTTGCCATAGAGCTTCGATCGTATTCCGGCGCCTCCTGGAGCGTCGCATGGTCGGGCTCTGCCTCAAAGTCCTCCTCAATTGAGGTACTCATTAAATTGTTGCTAGTGTTTATCACAAAAGCTCTTCAGCAGCGTGCTTATAACAATCGAAAGTCTAGACAGTTAGAAATATGGGTTTGGTGTTGCTTTGAATCTTTCACGTTTGTTGCGAATCATTTTGAGTTATGGCTTCGCAGGTTGGCCAGCAAGTTGCTGAATGTATTTCTCTGCCAAATGGAACTAAAGTGCAAGTGAAAGCAAATGGTAATCTGTCCAAAGCTTCACTGGTTAACATAGAACCTAATAGTGAAGATGACTGGGAAATCTTGGAGCTCAACTCACAGGCTGCGGAGGAGGCTATTTTGAAGCAGGTATTGCAAGTAGCTTTCTAATGTTGAGTAGTCTGATATGCATTTGATCGTCACAGGTGCTTGCTATTTATGAACTTCTTCATTTCCAGTTAAAAGAAGTGATTGTAAGAAAAAAATCTGTCAAGAAGCCACAACGCAAACAAAAATTATGATTGAGGTGGACTATATCAAATTTTGTAGAAACTGTGGTAATGCCAGGTAGAAATAATGTAGGAACCCAAGCCCAAAGAAGGAAAATTGCTGTTTACTAGAGAAGGTTAGCAGTTCAGGACCACAAGATAGCAAAAAAATCCACCGCTAAAGAAGCCAACTAGGTCATAATATAACAAAAAGATTACAGTAGGCTATAAGTCTATGAACAAAGTGCCATTGTGTAGAGTAGAAAATTGTGGTAAGTATTAATACATTGTGTTGATGATATGACATTGCTTGGAAGCGCCGCACTGTACGACCTGAATACAATGAGAAGTGTGCAAGGGTCGCTGCATCGGCGCATAGGTACAATGTTAAATAAGCAAAGGTTCCCACATCATGAACGGATGTGAGCAAATAAACTAGTCCATGAAATTAAAATTTTGATATAAACTTGGAATATAAAATCTCTTACAGGCAAATTAATAGAATTAATAGATATTATAATTTATAAGAAGATAAATATTCTATGCATTCAAGAAACTAAACCAGTTGGAGAGAAGACTAAGTAGATTGATTAGTATTTAAACTATATGATATTCAGGTAAGAGTCATATTAGAAATGATTTTGGTGTGATTATATATAAGAGTTTGAATGATAATGTTGTAAAAATTAATAGAATTGAAGATGAAATTATAATTTTAAAGATTGTGATTGATGTTAAGATTATTAATATTATAAGAGATTATGCTCCTTAAATATGTTTGAATGTGTTCAAAATTAAAATTTTGAAATGACTTGAAAAAATTAATACAAAAGACACCTATTGAAGAAAAAGTTTTTATTGGAAGAGATTTAAATAGACATGTTGGTAGAGAGGTAGAAGATTTTAAAGTATTCATAGTGGTTATGAGTTTGGAGCAACTAATAAAGGTGGTAGGACCATATTAAATTTTTTTCTAACTTATGATTTTATAATTGCTAAGATCTTATTTAAGAAAAAATGAGCATCTTATCACTTATAAGTTATAAGAATGAATATAATAAAACTCAAATTGATTATTTTCTTATAAGAAAAAATAGATCATTTATTGAGAGGTTTGATGGAAAAATATAGAGAGAATAAGGAGGATCTACATATGATATTTATTGATTTAGAGAAAGCATATGATAAAGTTCCAAGAGAAGTGTTATGGAGAGTTCTTGAAAAGAAAGGAGTTAATAATGCTTATATTCAAATCATTAAAGATATGTATACAAGCGCTATTACTTGTGTTCAAACTCAAGGTGGTTTGACCAAGTATTTTCCTATTTTGGTTGGATTACATAAAGGATCAGCCTTAAACCCATATCTTTTTGCTTTAGTCATGGATGTTCTCACTAGACATTTGCATGAGGATGTACCTTGGTGTATGCTTTTTGCTAATGATATTCTTCTTGTTGATAAGATTAAAGAGGGAGTTGAAGGTAAACTTGAATTATAGAGGTCAACTTTAGAGTCCAAAGGTTTTCGCTTGAGTAGATCTAAAATTGAATATATAGAGTGTAATTTTAGTAGCAATAGATATAGTGAGGGAATTATGACTTTGGGAGATTAAGTCATTAATAAGAGTACACATTTTAGATATCTTAGATCTATTGTTCAGAGTGGTGGTGAAATAGATGGGGATATTATCAACAAAATTCAAGTTGGATGGTTGAAGCGGAGAAATGTATAGGGCTTGTTGTGCAATAGAAATTTCTCCCTCAAACTTAAGGGAAAATTATATAAGATGGTAGTGAGACCTACAATGCTTTATGGTGCCGAATGTTGGCCATTAAAAGAGAAGCATAATGCTAAGTTAAGTGTTTCAGAGATGAGGATGCTTATGTGGATGAGTGGCTTTACCCTTAGAGATAGGATACGAAATGAACATATATATGAAAAGGTTGGAGTAGCTCCAGTGGAAGATAAGATTAGAGAGAGTCGACTTAGTTGGTTTGGCCACATTAAACAGAGGCCTTCCGATGGCTCGGTTAGGAAAGTTGAGGTTTTAGATTTGTCTTATGTTAAGATAGGTATATGTAGACCTAAAAAGACTTGGTTAGAAAATTTTAGAAATGATATTTCCTTATTAGATTTAAATGAGAATTTGACTTTTAACAGGACACAATGGCGAAAAAGGATTCATGTAGCCGACCCCACATAGTGGGACAAAGACTTAATGTTGTTGTTGTAGATTGCAAAGATTGTAAAGTTATTTCGAGTGAAAGTTTTTATTCCCAACATTGCTTATTAGTTTTGAATTTTAAGATAAATGAGCAGAATATGAAAAATAAAGGAAAATATTGCCTTAGGATTAGATGGGGCATTTAAAGAATGATAACATAAATATTTGTGAGAGTAAGATTTAGGATCTTAAGATTTTGACTGTACATGAAAAAACTAATGTTATGTGAGAAAAATAACTAATGATATTACAAATATTGCAAAGGATTTGCTTGAAATATCAAAAGGAAAATCTCCTAATAGTAAAAATAGTTATTGGTTGAATCAAAATATGCAAAATCAGATAAAAAATAAGAAGCTTTATTATAAAAATTAGTTTAGATGTAAAAAATTTGAAAAATTGAGGAATATATAAAGAGACATGTAAGTAGTCTAAGAAAGCAATTTGCGATGCAAAGAATTTAGCTTTTAATTATTTATATAATAAATTATATACTAAAGATGATGAAAGATATATGTATAAGTTAGCCAATCAAAGATATAAGAGAAGTAAGGATTTAGTTCAAGTGAAGTGCATTAAGATGAAGATAAAAAAATATTTTTATTAGAAGAGGATATTCAACAAAGATGAATGAAATATTTTGATAAGTTTTTCAATGAAGATTATGAGAATACAATTGACTTTAGTAACCTTAGCACCCTAAATGAAAATATAGATTTTTATTTTTAATGCCATATTAATAAAACCTAAGTTAGAGATGCTTTAAAGAAAATAAAGTGTGGAAAAGTTGCTGAACTTGATGATATTATAATAGAGATGTGGAAATGCTTAAGAGATAAAGGAATTTTTTGACTTACAAAACTTTTCAATATTATTTTAAAGACTAAAAAGATGTCAGATGAGTGAAGAAGAAATGTGTTGATTCTTATTTTTAAGAATAAAGGTGATACACAAGAGTGTGCGAATTATAGAAGAATTAAGTTAATTTGTCATACATTAAAACAATGGGAGAGAGTTATTGAATATAGGTTTTGATGTGATACTAATGTTTCTCAAAATCAATTTGGATTCATGCTGGGTAGGTATACTGCGAAAGCTATATATTTATTGAGAAGTTTAATGTAGAAGTATAGAGAGAATAAGGAGTATCTACATATGATATTTATTGATTAAGATAAAGCTTATTATAAAGTTCCAAGAGAAATGCTATGGAGAGTTCTAGAATAGGAAGGGGTTAATAATGTTTATATTCAAGTTATTAAGGATATGCATGCAGGAGCTGTTACTTATGTTCAAACATAAGGTGGTTTGACCAAGTATTTTCCTATTTCAGTTGGATTACATCAAGGATCAACTTTAATCCCATATATTTTTGCTTTAATCATGAATTTTCTTACTAGAAATTTGCAAGAGGATGTACTTTGGTGTATGCTTTTTGCTAATATTTTTTTTGTTGATAAGACTAGAGAGGGGGTTGAAGACAAACTTGAATTATGGAGGTCAATCTTAGAATCCAAAGATTTTCGTTTGAGTAGATCTAAAATCGAATACATGGAGTGTAATTTTAGTAGTATTATATCTAGCGGGGGATTGTGACTTTGGGCGATTAAGTCATTAATAAGAGTACATGTTTTAGATATCTCAGATCTATTGGTCCAGAGTGATGGTGAAATGGATGGCATATTATTAGTAGAGTTCAAGTTGGATGGTTGAAGTGGAGGAATGCATAAGGCGTGTTGTGTTATGGAAAAGTACTCCTCAAACTTAAGGGAAAATTCTATGAGATGGTGGTGAGACCTGTAATTCTTTATGGCGTAGAATGTCGGCCATTAAAAGAGAAGCATAAAATTAAGTTAAGTTTTATAGAGACGAGAATGCTCAGGTGGATGAGTGACTTTACTCTGAGAGACAAAATGTGAAACAAGCATATATGTGAAAATGTTAGAGTAGCTCTAGTGATAAATAAGATTAGAGAGAGTTGCCTTAGATGATTTGGTCACATAAAACGTTGGCCTATTGATGATCCATTCAACAGAGTAGATGTATTAGATTTGGCTAATATTAAGAAAGGTAGAGGTAGGCTTAAAAAGACTTGGTTAGAAAATATTAGAAATGACATTTTTATTAGATTTAAATGAGAATTTGACTCTTAACAAGATGTAATGGAGAAAAAAATTCATATAGCTGACCCTACGTAGTGGGATAAAGACTTGATGTTATTGTTATTGTATTCCACCAAACAAAAGCCAGAGGAATTGGCGCCGCTCTGATTAATTCTACCCAACTTGGAAACATTTGATTTTGATAGATTGTTTAATTGTTTTTCTTTCAATAGATCTAGGCGTATCTCTTGGGTTCCCTATAGAAATATTCATGTGTCTTATATATGAATCTATTTTTCCATCACACAAAGTACAGCACACAAATGGATTTCTTCTCAAAAAATAACTTTACGAATAAGGTGGGTATGACTGATTGGGTAATATACAAATAACGTTTTGATGCGGGCAAAAGATACAGGGAGCCTATATTTTTTGCTTAACAAAAGACACGACGGACTTCTACGGACGAACTTGAGAAAGAGACGAGAAAATGGACGAACAACAACAATAATAGGGAAGAACAAACTCTTATATTTCAAATAAAATCAAACAACACGACAGACACCCTAAAGTTGCTGCACTTTGAGAAGAAGTATACAAGTGGAGTGGCACTTGCGGAGAGACGAAGAGATTAGAAGCCCGAGAAGAAAGGGTGGAAAGAGCCCGCAGGATTTTCGAGCAACCCGCAGGTTAACTGATTTTTTCCAAAAATCAAATATCATTCAACTATTCAAAACATTACAAAGCCCCCCATATTTATAGGTATGAAAGGGGAATACAAAAGGACACAAACACTTAATTTAAAGCATTTAAAACACATAGAAAACTTCCCCCCAAGCTCTCGGTTTACACCCAAACCAGGAACCAAGGAGACAGCCACGGGAGACGAAGGGAACCGCACGGACCGAGAGCCACAGCCGCGGGAAATGAAGGAACCGCACGGAAGAAGGAGCCAGCCGTGAGTTCCCAAGAGGCATACACAAAATTCAACTTCCCATGGTGGAATTCAAGGAGCCACACATGGGAATACTAAACAACTATCTTGGATTCCCAAAAGCCATATTTTGGAAATCCAAGAGACAACTTTTTAAGACATTAAAACTATAATAAAAAGTGCATTTAAATAAAGATAAATATGAATTAAAATGTTAGCTCATAATGAGCTAACCCTTAGTTCAAGAAATGAACTAAAGTTCAGCTCATAAATGAACTAAAAGTTTAGCTCAAATATGAAAAACTACTAGACTCAAGGGAAGCCAAAATATGATTTATTTTGGACTTGTGTTGACCCCCCCTTTGTCTACATCACGTTTGGATGTAAATCTTGCAGGAAGAGGTGAAAAGTGAGAATAACTCAAGGCATTGACTATTGGCTCATGCTATAAAGTTAAATAAAACATCAAAAAATAGATTAATGCTAGAATTTTTTGGCACTTCTAAATTATAAGCTTTTATCCTTGTTCTTTATATGAATTTATATGGTTCCATTTTTTCTAGTAGTTAATTTCTTAGGGATTCATTTATGAAACTTTTTAGATGAATACTTATATTATCACCTAATTTTATTTCCTTATATCTCGAATTCACAATTTTAGTAAACTTTTAATTATCATGATTAAAAATAAGATTTTTTTTACAAATGTTCTACAAATTATGCATATGATTAATGGATGATATAATATGATGTGATGCATGTGAGAAGGATGCTCAAGTTTATTTTCTGATGAATATGTTATAACATTAGGATTAAAGGAGAAAAATATGATGAGAATTTAAAGTTTTATGTTTATTAAGTTCCATCAATTTTTTTTCTAAGAATTTGTAAACCACACAAAAATGCTTAATTAAAAAAAAAAATTTGTTGTATAGACACAATCTCTTTGAAGAAAAACAACTCAAATGATTTAAAGAGTATTCATAATGACTTATACACTTTTGGTCGAAATTCTAATGAATTTGACACTTTCGGTAGAAAGCATGCATGTTGAAAGTTGTACAATAAGCTATATGCCTTGAGGCTTGCATCAAAAAGAGGTGCATGCAAAGTGGCTTTAGGCATTTTTATTGATTAGCTACTTTGAGGGTTATTGAAATGGAAAATTATGAAAAATATTGGGTGGTTTTTAATACAAGTGAGGGTGATGGAGGTGAGAAAGCTATCATGCATGATGATGATTCTAATAAAGACTCTTTAAGTGATAGGAGTGGGAGAAACATTTGAATTCGGAGTAATAAAATATAACTAGTTTATTTTTGGCCATTTTTATTTATTTTTAGACTTTTTGTTTATATTTACTTGTTTATCTTAAACTTTTTGCTTATCATTGAGCATGACTTTTTATGACGTTGTGTTATGATTGAACACTATTACTCTTAAAAGCTTTATTTTTCATAGTTTTAATATATTTAATGATTTTATTTTGAGTCATACACCTTAAAAGGCCTTGAGGCTTACTCTTAGCTTTATGAAAAGAAAGTGCATATGTACAAGATTACCTAATTTTAAACCTTGAAAAGTGTGAACCAAAATCGAGTTCTTAACAACAAGTTGTTACTTTCGATGATGTCAAAATGATAAAGGAAATTACTTCAAATGAAAGGGGCAATGCTTTTACTAGAAATAATGAATAAATTTAGAACCAAGAAAGTTGCACGTTACACAATGAGTTGAAATTCTCACATACGTTGAAAATCAAATTTTATTGAATTTGAGTCAAATCAATCACATAACTAAAATTGGCAAGATAAATAGTAGAAAGAGAAAAAAAAGCACCAAAAGTAGAAGTAAGCCTGAAGTTTGTGCTAGGAGATAATCTCTCCCGAATAACTTGAAACCTTTTACTTGAACAAGAGATTATTAATTAAACAAAAAATTTATTCAAAACAAAATTGATTGTGTTTTGCCTTTGACTCCTATTTATACCCCTTGCCTGCTATCGGAAAATGGGGCAATCCTGATAATAGGGGAAGCGACAAAGTTCAACCATATAAATGGCTAAAGAAGCTACCCCTCAAGAATTTCGATTGACGAAAACAAACATAGATATCTGATGTACCCAACAAGAAATAAAGATGAACACAATCTTTAGAGAAGGAAACTGAATATATTGCTGGAGAAGGGTAATGATGTAGAACGGGAGGGGGTAATAAAAATTAAAGATCTAATATTCCATTTAAGATTTTCCTTAATTAATGGATTTGAATTTGAAAATCAAACAAGAAAAGAAGGGAGGGAAGAGAGGAATGAATTATCTTCTTAATTCGGGCCTTTAATTAGGAAGGAAATTATTAGGGTAGACAGGAGAGAGGGGCCGACCAAGTGAGAGGGAAGGATGAGGTGTCTAAGTTAAATGAATATGAATCAAGCATTAATTGGGATTGAGAATTAAATATGAAATTAATTGGTAGAAAGCCAGATCAAGGAGGAGGGTGGGGGATTTAGAGAGAGAATAATGGAAGAAGATGGCTGGTAGAGAAAGAGAGAGGGAAGGAGATAGGGAAAGAAGATAAACCGTGAGCCCGGACACATCCTTCGACTAACGGGTGATGCGATGCCCTCACCTAGGGACTTCAACCACGAGTCCGGACACATCCTGCGGCTGGTGGGTATTACGCTTCCCTCACATAGGAATCGCACCAAAGTTCTTCTGATGTGAAACAAAATGCGATGGAGGAGTTACTTGATGAAATTAAAGAGATCAATTGTAACTTAATAACCCAAAATAAAATTATCATTTATAATAAAAGAGTGATCCTTGGAACTCTTAGTTTTTAACTCGTTTAGGCAACGAAGAGTGACATTGATTAACCAAACAATTCAAGGAAACACAAAGACTAATTGTATGCTACGACAATAAACAAGAATCCACGAATTAATAAAGAGAACTCTCACCTTTAGAGCCCATACGCTCACTAATCTAGGCTTTAGCGGAAGAAGCGTCTCCACATTAGAACCGAGGCCACTCCGAGGAAGAAGGACCCTTAGATCGTCGTTCGTGGATAGGTAGCTCGAAACCCAAAGAGGGGAGACGATCGACTTAGGTGGAGAAGGCCAAGGGTAGAGCAAAATTCCAAATTCTGAAATAGCTCCAGAAGGCTGACGTTGGAGGATGGCTTTGGCTGGAGAAGAGCAAGCCACGTCCAGGTGGGAATTTGGGTAGGGGAGAAAACTTCAGGAGAAAAAGGCTTGGCCGGCGGGGTGGCAGCCAAAGTGGCCGGAGGTTTGAGCAGGCCAAGGCTAAACGAAAACAAATGCAGGGAAAGGAGGAGGAGAGAAAACAAGATCTAGGGATTTGGGCCACCACAGAATTGCTAACCTTGAATATATTCACTTTGAATTTCCACAAGATGAGATAATTAGAAAACTAGAACTCACTAAGAGATCTAGTTTTCTCCGGCGAACTCACTAAGAGATCGTTGAACTCACAAAGAGAACTTAAGAGGCAAATTTTCATTCATCAAAAACTGAAATTACAATGCATGAGGCCTCATATAAATAGGCCAAAATGAAAAATTAAGAAATGACTCAAATGCCCTTCCGGGCTACATAAGCGACTAAGGCCCATAAGGGCAAAAACGGAAGAACATCAAAATAAAATACGCTACTACATAAAATGACAAAATACAAGTCATGCTCGTGGCCGTCGATCTCCGGCGTCGAAAATGCTGGCGATGTCCTCATCATCTTCCCAAAGAACAAGAGTGCAGACAAATTTTTTTTATTAATAATTCATCATTGTCTAATACAAGAGCAAGAGACTCTATATATAAGCCTTAAAAGAAACAAAAAGACAACTTTGCCCATTGGGCTTACATAAGACAAGACCCTTAAGTAAGGGTAAAAACGGAAAATGCATAATTAAATAAAAAATATAATTAATAAATTAAGATAAAATGGAGGGATCTCGGCCGTCGATCTTCATCTCTTCCTTTGATTAACGTCCACCGTCTGATGTTCGCATCAGATAACATGCGAAAAAAAATACTACAGAATAATCCACTGCCATTGTAGCCAACCTAGTGATGGGCAAAATTTAACGATCCTCCAGCAGTTGCTGAAGTCTGTCAAGGAGTTTGTTGAAGAGCAAGAAATTGCAGAAATGATTCCACCAAATAGAAGATGGACGAAAGTGAGCAGCTTTATATTACTTATCCTCTTGATCTTCAACAAAGCCCACAACTATATCTAGGAAGGGTCGTAAAATGCTTCAGCCTTTAGAAGTGGCTTGGCTGATTTGAGGATGGAGGTCCTCTTTGTGATATTAAAAACTACTTTAATGTCTGGGTTTAAATAATATTTTGATGTCATAACATTGTCAATAGTCCTCTGTTCAACAATCTATTTCTTAGAAACCCAATAATACCCTCTGTTCCTTTATTCCTTTCTGCATACTACTGTACATCTATACTTGTATATTTTGTTTTTTCGTCTATATGATATGTGACATATTATAGTTTATATTACCTTAATGCAGGTAGGGATTGTATTTGAAGGGATGAAGTTCCCTTTGTGGTTGCATGGGCACATGGTTGTTGAGTTTATTGTTGTCTCAATTTTTCCTAACAAACCGGTAGGTAAGGGAATCTATTTTACTCCACTGCCTTGCTGCACGATATAAATGGTTTTAAAATGTTGACTGTGGGTTTTATATTTTTTTGAACTTCTGCTGTTCCAGTTTTTTGTGCTTATTTTTTTAATGCAGAAAAACTACACACAGATTTTAATTTTATCTTCATTAGAAAAATCACATAAGATTAGAGAGAGTCGCCTTAGATGATTTGGTCATATAAAACGGCGGCCTTCCGATGACCAGGTTAGGAGAGTGAATGTATTAGATTTGGCTTATGTTAAGAAAGATAGATGTAGAACTAAAAAGACAGTTAGAAAATATTAAAAATGATCTTTTTTTATTAGATTTAAATGAGAATTTGACTCTTAATAGGACACAATGGAGAAAAAAGATTTATGTAGCTGGACAAAAATTTGATGTTATTGTTGTAGAAAAATCAAATCTTTGTCAATTTATCATGCTTAACCTGCTAAGCTCTAATGATGAGCAGCAATATGGTAAATGCGAATAAGGCATAAGAATTGCAACCACTTATGGTATGCCGTTATTGATGTTGGTATATATTAGCTAGAAATTTGGCTGCGATTCAATCATGTAATTTGAAAGTGGCAGGTTAACCTGCTTTAATGACATTTCACCTTGGCTAATTGATTAAGCTCACTTGTTTAATAACCCTCATAAGGTTTCTTCAGAAGCAGTGGTTAATAGTGATGCTTTGTCGAATTAGAGAGACGACATGTAGTCCTCTGGCTAATGCTTATTTGATGGCATTTTCTAGCACCATTTATTAATGAAATCAGTTAATATTATTACGAGTGATGGAATGAAAGACAAATCCATAAACCTAATGAATCCTAAGAGCATGATTTCTCCTACAGTCCTTGCCATATAATGCCTAAAACTTGGGTAGGTTGCTAAATACAATATTTAAGCATATTTATGATGTTTATTATGTTCAGCCAGGTATTATGCCAAAATTATTTAATTTTACTAATAAAAAAAATTAAATTGAAGACAATAGATTTTGATGATATCATCCTCAAGTGGCATTTGATAATAAGGGAAAAAGTAAATTAATGGGAAGAGTTTTGGCAATTATCCTAAAAAATGTGAAGTTTTGTTTTTAGGATGTAAGGGAACCTATATTCCAAGTTCCTATCCTAATTTTAGTTTCATGGACTAGCTTCTTTGCCCACATCCGTCCTTGATGTGGGAACCCTTGCCTATTTAACACTGCACCCGGGCGCCGGTGCAGCGGCCCTTGCACACTTGTCACTGTATTCAGGCCATACAGCGCGTCACTTCCAGGGGACGCCCTAACATTAACACAATTTCTTAAAGGATTCATGTCATTATTGTTCGACAAGTTTTACACTGGCTGTCGACTACCTAACGCAACCCTCCACTTTTCTCATCCAGGACTTGAGACCTGGCAACGGCAGTGTCTTGGTAATTACCCTAAAAGCAAAATGTCAAATAAAAAAAAACCACAAAAAACAAAATGCCATGATAATGCATGTTTCTTATGTTCATTATATTTAGCTGGGATTAGTGTAAAAAATATTCAATTTTTTTAATAAAAAATTTTAAATTAAAGATGAAAGACTTTGAAGATTATCATGCTCAAATGGAATTTGATAATAAGGGAGAAAATAAATTAATGGGAAGAGTCTTGGTAATTATGCTAAAATCAAAATACAACTTTTTCATCTTGGAAGGGCTTTATTGAGGGATGTAACTTTGCAATTAATTTCATATGTAGCTTTGAAGTGGCCTATCAGTCTCACCTTGATCCATATAATTGTTGCCTACGTGAGAAGTCGACTAGACTTTGATGTTATATGGGGTGGTTGTTGTAAAGCTGTTGTGGGAAGAATATTTTATTTTAAAAGTTGCATTGGGTATTATAAATATATATATTTTTGATGAGCCCTATGATAAGCCTTTTTGGGGCCTAAGGGATCTATTATTCATTAGGTAAGGAGGAGGAATTAAGAAATAACTTATTAGAAAATATTTATTTAGGAAAAGAGGACTGATTTGATTGGTAGGAGATTATGAAATGTTTATTTAGGGAAAGAAGATTGATTTGATTGGGAGGGAATTAAGAAATGTTTATTTAGGGAAAGATGTTTTGAGGGAATTTTGAAAGGTTTATGTAGGGAAAGATGATTGATTTGAATTCAGATTTGAGATTGAAGTAGGAAGTTTTATATTAAGGCTAATTGGGTGATTTTATTTTCATAATGTGATTGCATTTGCAGTAGTTTTTCTTTGGAATTGTTCTTAGTGGCGCCTAGGGCTTTTGGGAGAGCTGATCTACCTTTCGAAGAATAAATTAATTATATCTTTCATTATTTGTTGATGAGACAATAAAAAATCAGTCCCATACTTGTGTTCTTGCAATTTCTTTTTTATCTAATTTGCTGTTTTTGCTTCCAAGTCACATCAAATTGGTATCAGAGCAAGGTTTTAGAGAGATGACAACAAAGAAGGTGGATGCGTTCGAAGGAGAAGTAGAGCCAATAAAATCCGGGATGTATTAGAAGTTCTCAACTATCGAAGGAAGGTTTTCAGCCATGGAGAATCAGATGGAGAGTCGATTTGAAGGGTCAAAGGAGATGATGAGGAAGCTTATGGAGATGCAATTCAAACTCTACTTGCGGTTCAGATTGCTAACCCTAACCAAGATTTGACCTGGATTCTCTAGGCTGAATCTATGGGAAAAGAAATCGGACAAGAGGAGTTTAACGAGGAGAATTTCTTTCATCAAGAGCCACCACATAGGGCTCTAATAAGGGGTAGATTGGTTTCCGAATGGGGGGACAACAATGAGGAAATTTGTGGGTGGAGATGGTAGGGTGACCAACCACTATGGGAGGCATTTCGAGTAAGGGGAATGGGCGACTCGAGATGGAGGGGGTCGAGCCAAGTCATGGGGATTAGATCATGCAAGGAGGAGGGAATAATGTGGGATTCCCACCCTTGATACACGAGGAGAATCGTTGGAGAGAGAGGAAATTGGAGTGGAGATGCTAGGGTAAGGAAGTTGATGATGTCGATATTTGAAGAGGATGCCCATGGGTGGGTGTACCGGTTGGAGAGCTGTGACGTCCCATACATCTATAGTGAAAGGATTTATCGATATTCTTTCTTCTTGCTCAGATCAATACAAACATCCAGAAATGATAATTGCATTAAAGAAAACGAATATAATAAAAAAATATAATTCAAATTACGACATTCCATATTTACAATCCAAAAGTGACGTCTAAAAGAACATATACAATAGCCGTTCGGGCTACAAAACAATACATGAACAAAAAACGATGAAATACTATACTAGTGTCTGAAGGAAGCTTTAGGCGGGAGGCTCTGCACCTGAAATCAATTAACCACATATAATGAGCTTAAAAGCCCAGCAGGTCACCAAATACCTACAACTGAAATCAAAGCATGGTACGGAAGTAATATGCATGTCAAACAATCGAATCAATATCAGTCGCTTTCACATGATCATTGAATCGATGCAGATACGAAAATCAGTACATAAACAATAATCAATGCATAATTAGTAGAATTCAAAATCATCAGTAGGAAAATCAATAAACAATAGAAAAATCTATAAATCAGTCCATATATCAATTCTTAAAACAATCCATCACATCTTTACCATCAGTTAATTCAATAGAGAAATCGTCGTATCTAAAATATTAGTCAAATCAATATCGTACCAATCATATCAATAGAATCAATCAGATCATTAAATAAAAAAATCAATTCCGGTCAATAATATCAATCAGTATGGAATCACATAAAACAATCAAATCAATATATCGATAAAAATAGTTGAAATCACAGCAATATGATAAAAGCATATTCTATATCACGTGCTCGGTGTATCACATGCAATACAGTTATTCTATATCACTTGTTCGGTGAATCACATGTTATCAGTCTTATCAGTGTATCACTTGTATCAGTTAGTATTCGGTGTATCAATGAAGTCATGATATAAATATCCGTATTAGTATCAATAACGATCCAATGACGTAAACAATATGCAATATCAATGAAATCGTGCAGTGACAGTAAACTCGTAAATCCGTTAATAAATCCATTTAATATCAATGAATCAATTCAATATCAATGAATAAATTCAATATCAATAAATCCATTTAATATCGGTAAATCCATAAAGAAATCATAAGAACAATACTTCACACATGCATTCCAGTACAGTAATCTTACTTAACAAGTACAATCACTGGCTATTAAGGCGTTTTTCAAGGTTAGCATCGATGTTAATAATCTGTTGGCTCAGTAAATAGAGTCGTCACCCTTGCCCGTCGGCACAATAATCTCCTTATAACTCCCATCAGTAATCACGTGATCGATAGATGATAACACCAAACCCTTTTTAAAGGAAAGTCCGTCAGCCCACCATCCTGTACAGGTCAATCTCCAACCAACGGTTCAACCAGTCTTTACTTGTCTTTCAGTAATATAATACTAGTAGATTCAATCATATATCCACATTCATATACATCTCATTAATGCATTGAAATAAACAAGCACGATTAGCTCAAATGAAGAGAATACTTAAAATATTGTATAGTCGACAGAAATCTCAAACATAGTCAAAATACACAGTTTCAGAAAACTACCAAATTATCAGAAATCAGATAAAACATCATTTCAAAACTTTACTTGTACTGAAACAATATTTTTCAACATCCGGATAATTTTCTATTCGATAAAAATATCATAGAATTCAAAATACCCGGTGAAAAATCTCCAGAAAATATTCAAAACGTGCAAAATCATATTCTCTATAACATACAAAAAGTTATGCGGTGAAAGTTTCGTCAATACAAAGTTATGCACATTTTTCGGTAACGGAAACACAAAACTGAGCAGAAAAATACCAAAACTCGAACTCTTCGAAATTAGAAATAGGATTCAAATTCCTTACAGCGAGACAAACAATTCTTTCAACTGCGT